ATAGATACTCTGGCACATCTTAGAGCAGTTCCAGGACTCCAAAGCACAGAAACCCGGTGTGAGGACCCTGAGGCCACTAATAGGCCTTAATTGCCTTGAACAGCTTCATGGGGGACCTGCACCCACACCCCATGCTCCTGGGAGTCCCTTTTAAGCTCAGCTTGGGTCCCATCAGGCTTGGGACCAATATTCTAGGTGGATTCTCCTTGAGGGACCCCACCGAGCTATGGTGTAGCTTGTCTCCTGCCCTGTCTTTGGCCCTGTCTCCTTCTGCACTTGACTGGCCCCCATGCCAGATCTGGTTTGTCACTTTGCCTTGTCTCAAGTGGCCAATGGACCCTGTTACCAGCACGTGGTTCTCATCCTCCAGCTGAGATCTAGGAGGATGGAGTGCATCACCTGTGCCAGGGCTTACCCTTGGCTCCTGGCTTGCTTTCCCTTAGAGAGCAGCTGGCCCTTGCTGCTCCCCAGCAGCCTGAACTGGGTCTCTTTTTCTTCCCGTTCTCTCCTCCTTCAGCTCATGGGCTAACCACCCTTACTCAAATGTAAACGTAAACCCATCTAAGATGGTTTCATGGCACTTTGGGCTGATCCTCTGCCTGGTTCTTCACTGGGTCCACGTGAATGATGAAACAGCGTGTGACTTAGTTAGGAAGAGGATCAAAAAAGCAGAATAGGAAATTGGGTAAGAAAGGATTTCGGTGTTCCTGTTCTGTTATATGGTTTCTGAACAGGTACAGACAAGTCTATTAGCTTGGAAAATAAATATCCATTTATATTTTTGTTATTTTTTTAAAGGCTCAAAAATCCCCAAATATTTTACTTTTCTGAACATAAAGAATTCAAGGATGTTGAATATTCCCACCTGTGGTTTCATTCTGCCTCTGTCCCCAGGAGCTATACAGGAACGCAGGTGGGAGGAAAGGTGTGAGTTAGAAGGGAAAAAGAAGAGCTGAAGGAGGGAATGCTGTGTGCCTGCTTTACCTTAATATCCAGAGCTAATCTGGCACCTGTCACACCAGGGACACGGGCAGAGACTGGAAACCTGCTCCTGAATCCTGTTGGTGTGACACTGAGAAGGGAGAGTGGCTGAAGGGCCACATAGTCAACCAGCTCTGTGCTTGGTTACCTACCTGGGGATTTTTACGTCGAGTCATACCCGGACAGCAGTATTTCACCTGCTGGAGTTAGCTGCTCTGTTACCAAAGAAAGGGGTAGGATTTCCTCTTGGATTTGGAGAACCTGATCTTCTTCCTTGAGAAACCGGCTAATCGTTAGGTACAAAAACCAACCTAAAGTATGTGGTATGGGCCCCCCTACGCCTGTTCTCTCTGCTGATAGAAATGTGTGATCCTTTCAAGAGAATACTAGGTGCGTGCTATAATCTGTGCATGCAGATCGTACTGAAATAGGTGTAACGCTCTCATGCCTGCCCCATCGACTCCGATTCCCATGATCTTCCTTCCCCAGTTAAAAAAAAGGCTGCGTGGGCTGAAAAGGGAGTCGCACTTTGTTCGGTTTTTGTGGCAGCTAAAATCCAAACCTGCTGGTCAGTCTTGTGCAGAATTCAGCCGTTGCAGCTGTAAGCAACAAAACAAAATGACACAGCATCTTCCTGCAGTGGCCAGAAAAATCGTTTAATAAAAAGTGGTTTCATGTGTCCTGTGATTTGCCGTACATCTGATGCTGTTTGCAGCTGCTCAACTGGTGCGACCATGTAAGTTTTGAAGACCATGCAGACACTTCTGCAACATTTCATTAAAAGAAGTGTCATGACTAATAGGGAAATAGGCACCTGTTTGCCCTTCCACTGATCTCACTGCCTTGGCGCGTGTGCGCCGTTCTCCTGCTGAGTGGTTGAGGCTCTCCAGATCTGTGAGTCTTGGCAGGGAGAAGGTGGTAGGCTGGAGATGGGTGGGCAGTGGGAAGACCTGCGTTAGGTGTGGAAGCTGGGTGGCAGTGACTGCATGGCAGCACCTTCACGGTGAGCGGGAGGGCGGTGCAGACACGAAGGATGAGACGCCTTCATAGCCAGTCCCGTTCTCTGCTGCTTCTCTTTTACATTGGGGCTGTAGAGGTAATCAAGGTTACTGAGAATATAATAAAATCAGCCTAATATTATCCTGATAAAATCAGGATAAAAATTGCAGTGATAAAACAGCCATGGGATCTCTTGTGCCCCCAAACCTGGAGACCTCCAACTTCAGTATTGAGAGTATGACAAGCTTTGTATTAAATCTGAGTTGAGTTTGCAGGATCTCTGGGAGCGGACACAAAGGTCCTGATTCAGCAAAGAGCGTGCATCTGCTTCGCTCCCTCTCTCTGAGGGAAGCTCAAGCAGTTGGAGCAGAGAGCAGATGGAGGCAGGAGGGAAAATGGGGTTGTAGGGGA